GGGACTTGCAGAAGGGAATCATAGAATATCAGGGTTGGAAGGGACCTCAGGAGGTCATCTAGTCCAGCCCAATGCTCAAAGCAGGACCAATCCCCAATTTTTGCCTGAGATCCCAAATGGCCCCCTCAAGGATTGAACTCACAACCCTGGGTTTAGCAGGCCAATGCTCAAACCACTGAGCTATCCCTCCCCACCCCATGGAGAAGTAGAACTCCATATAAAAACACAAGCAGTACATTGATAGAATTACAGAACCCCCCACCCCAGAAAAGTAATGCTGATAAATAAGCATACCCCAAAGTAACGGGCACATCTGGTAACAGCGTACGGTCTGGACAGTAGAAGACGCTCAGCCGGGGTGCAAGCCTGGAAGTAGAGAACAGACTGGTGTTGCTATGGGCTTTAATTCATCCCTGGTTGGCAAGTCGCACTCAGTGCTGCATAGCTGGGAGTGACTTTGAATCTGTTGGCTGGCTGGGTGTGAGCAGAGCGTGGAGGGGTCTGTTGTTCACTCAGCGAAGCAGTGTAAAACATGTCCTGGGACAGAGAATTAAGCAGTTCAACAGTCCACACTGTACCCTGGGGTATGTCTCACCCACCATCTCCTGGGACCCAGCATGGCCCCACTGGTCTTTCGTCATTCAGCTCATCTTTCAGCATGAGAACAGGGCTAATCGGAGAGAGGGAACCAGCCAACATCCTCAACTGCACTGGCTTTGGCTAAATGCTAAACACCCCCGGGATAGGGATTGGGGCTCTGCAGTCAGCCTTCCCCTCAGGCCTCATTCTCCTTCCTCACCTTGCTTCTGTCTTTCCTGTTGCCTTCTGTCTCCTACAAGTCTCCTACCTTAGTCAGTCGAGACAGCACCACGTTTTGCAACAGTTCAGCTTGCCTGTGACTGGAGAGGCAGCTCAAAGCAAAGCCTTAAGCAGCCCAACACAGAGAGAAATTTTTCAAGTCTCAGAGGGGCTGATCAGCTGGCAGGCCGTGCCCGGGATTCTCCTGCAGGGAGGCTGCAATTGAGACTGAGCCCTGGTAGCAGAAGCTTGTACTCATGATGCACCCTTAATGCTGAGAAAAGCTGCCCACCTGTAACCGTGCCTTTGTGGGTCACAGCTGAGAATACCACATTCAGGTCACACTGCTGAGAAACAGGATAAATACACCCCAAAATGCTGTTGGTTTTTCTCCCAAAAGATATACCAAAAGAAGTTTGACTGTTAAAATAAACTCACAGTTAGTTTTCCAAACATTTTTATAGCTCTACGCATTCTTTTAACTTTGCCAGTTTCCGTAGCGAGTGGGGAACGTAGCTTCTCAAAGTTAAAATGGATCAAAACATATCTGCGTTCAACAATAGTGCAAGAGAGACTTGTTGGACTTGCCATAATGATAATAGAGCATGAAATAGCTGGAAAACTGGACCTAAAAGAACTAGTGACTGAATTTTCAAAACTTAAAGCAAGAAAAGTCATGTTTTAAGAGCACAGAGTGTTTTTTATTTGGAGTGTTTTGTAAATACAGGTTAAAGTTCATTGAAGAGTTTTCTTATTTCTTTCTATATTGGATGTGGTGGTGATGGCAGTTAAAGCAGGATAGGGCAATGGATGATTTTGAATTTGTAATAATAAAAATTATAATTAACATTTCTAATGCATTTTTATTTGAAATCGGACTGAAATATCATCTATCTCTCATGTACAAATCTATTCTGAAAATTTCGTGTCTCTGTTTTATCTGATCTCAGAAACATTGGTTGGACAGATGGACGGACGAACAAACCGAATAGTTTAAAAAAAACCCAATGCTTAAAAACATTAAAGGGAAGAAAGGGGCAAAATGTTTCCCAGTTTACCAAAAGCTGATTGCATGGTTCGCCTAGGGCACCAGTTGCTGACAGCTAGTCTAGGGCCGCTTCTGAAGAGGACACCCTGTGCTGGGTTTGCCTGATTCCCACCTGTCCTGCTGAGAGCCAGCTGGGCTGAGGTCGGGGGCAGGTAGGTGAGCAGCAGTGTCTGGAGAGACCCCAGTTGCAGGGGGCTGTTGGATGAGGAGCTGAGCCAGGTGATTCATCTGGAAGCAGGGGTACCCCACTCCGCCCCTCCCCTGCTCAACTGCTCCTGCCTTTGCCCTCTTCCTCACTGGAGCCCCTGGCCAGTCTGGGCTGGGAGCCCCTCCTGTCTGCTGTGTGTTTGAAGTCAGGGTGTCACCCCCCATCTGGGTACTGGTCTCCAATGCGCTGGGGTGACGGCACAGGGGGATCTGTGGGTGCTGCAGCCTCCCTGGGTCTGGAGCTGCTGGCAGCTGCTTGTGTCCGAAGGGGCCTTCAGGTTCCTAACTCTGACTGGTTTCTTAAAGAGACAGTGCACTCCTACACTCACTCAGGCAGACACATGCTCCCCCACCCCCAACACTGGGGCTCCCTGCATCCAGGTTACTTCCCACCTGGGCTGTGCTATGAGGCAACAGCAGCTGTTGCTCTGCTGCCCTCTGGGGAAAGTGACCTGGAGGCAGGGAGCCCTGAGGGGGCTCCTGGCTCCCCGGCCTCACAGGGTGGAGGAGCAGCAGGTCAGCGAGCAGCGATGCCCACTGCCTTACGCATCCAGGGCAGTTTCCCCACGTGGGGGCAGGAGGGGGATGCGGGGTTAGGGTGAGGGGAGACTCAGAGTGCAAGGGTTAGGGGTGCAAGAGGGGAATGCAGGGACTGGGGTGAGGGGCACTCACAATGGAGGGATTAGGGGTGCAGGATGGGTACAGGCGTTGGGGTGGAGGGGGAAAAGTGCAGAGGTTAGCAGTACAGGAGAGGGGAGGGCTTGGGGTGAAGGGGGCATGCACAGAGCAGGGGTTGGGGTGACGGGGCACGGTACAGGGTTGAGGGCTACATTAGGGGGCAGGAGCAGGGGTTGGGGTAAAGGGGCGATTGTATAGGGGTTAGGGGCACAGGAGGGGAGTGCAGGCATTGGGGTGAAGGGGGAACGCACAGAGCGGGAGTTGGGGTGCAGGAGGGGGCAGGGGTTGGGGTGAAGGGCAATGCACGGTGCGGGGTGCACAAGTGGGGAATGCAGCCTGCATTCCCCAATTGCTGCACTGTGCATTGCCCTTCACCAGGAGTTAGGGGTACAGGAGGGGGCAGGGGTTAGTGGGGAGCCAATGGAGGGCACCAAATGCAAGTTTGCCAGGGTGTCATTTTCCGGTGCGCAAGGCGGTGAGTTGATCGCTAGGACCCGGGAGCGGCTGGGGGGCGGCTCTGGGGGGAGGATCGCGGGGCTCAGCCCGGCCCAGGAAGTGACTCGCAGCCGCTGCGGGGACTCTGGCTCCCGGCGAGATCCCCGAGCCCCGGCGGCTGGTGCTGGGAGCCCGGAGCCCGGGCTGCAGCCGGGAGAGGGGAACCTCCAGCCGGGCCCTGCCCGCTGCTCCCCGGGAGCCTCTCCCAGGGCAGAGCCCCCAGCCCGGCCAGGGCCCCTTCCCGGCCCGGCCCCTGCCCCGGGGGGCCCCGCTCGGGGGGAAGGTAAGAGAGACCCTCCCATCCCTCCTTGCAGCCCCCCCCCCCCCCCCGGTCACATCTGGGCTGCAGGGGGAGGAGGATAAAGAGGGGCCGGAGGCGGGTGCAGGGGATGCCGGGGGCAGGCTGGGATGGGGGCAGGGGTGCACGGAAGGGAAGATGGGGCAATGGAGGAGGATCGGGGACTGTGGGGCTGAGGGGAGCGTGGTCGGGAATGGGGGAAGACGTGAGTGGGGGGCACAGCGAGGGAAAGGGGGGATGTGGGGAGGCGTGCGGGGGGAGATGCCCAGGCAGCTTCTCCGCCCCATGGGACACGAGGTGGGAGGGGCGGAGAGAAACTCTTCTCCTGGAACTGGTCAAACCAGCTTTGGGAGTGATCAGGGGACTAATCCCTCAGAGTGCAGAAGCTACAAGGAAAAAACCCAGCGTCCCGCCCCCTCCCCCACGACACACACACCCGGCTCTCAGTGTATTATTGTCAGACACCCCTGTGGTGGTGGGGGCTGCCCAGGGCCCTGGTCTGATTTCCCTGTAGGGTTCAGATCTCAGCCACACCAGAGTCAGACCGGAGTCACTGCTGGCTCAGGCAGGGGGGTGCACGGATGGGTCAATGGGATCAGCCTCTTCCTGCCTGTCCCTGGGGGCTGCCGGGGGAGTCCAGGGCAGCTCAATCTTCAGGTGATGCCACCAGAGGGCTCCAGGTATTGCTAAGGGAGAGGGGTTTACACTGCAATGGGGGGAAATCTCCCAAAGGGGCCCTTTTGATTCTTCCCTTTTCTTTAGCATTTGGCTCAGAGATGCTGTTACTGGGAGGGTCTGAAGAGTCCGGGAGGAATCGGGCTGTGATATGGACAGAGGACCCTTCTGTAACCTCCCTCTCGCCCTGACAGGCTGAGGAATCACGTCCACGTTTCACTAAAGATCGGCCAGTCTTCCAGGGGACAGAGAAGGGAAATGGCTGTGTTGGAGCCAGCTCAGGTAGGGGAGTCTCAGGGAGCTGCTGGGCAGGGGAAGGAGGAGACAGGGTTTGATAAATCTACTGATTTACTAAGTAGGCCCATTGTGGCAGGGAAATGGGGAGGGGACATTCCCCCATTTCTCAGGCAGGATATAACCACCTCGGCAGGGCTGGGAACATTTTCCAGGCTCCCAGTGCTGGAGCCTGACCCCACTTGCCCAGGGCTGCTGTGAAATACGAAGGGAAGCTGTCAGGATTCCTGTCCCCGTCCCCGGCTCAGAGCTCTGCTTCCTGTCCCAGTCTGTGGCTGGCAGGCGTGTGGGAAATGAGAAGATCCTGGTGTGCTCCGTGTGCTGGGGCGGACAGGGAGCTCTCACCTTCTCTGCCCCCTGAAGACTCCTGGCTGCTCTGAGCAGGGTGTGGGTGGGATTCTGCTACTCTGGCCCTCCCACATATTCACGTTTATTTTTCCTTTCCCATGAGCAGTGGGATTGTGGCTGGGGCAGCAGGTGCTGAGTGGGGGACTCTTGTTGTTTCAGATGCCGGTGACCTTCGAGGAGGTGGCTATTTATTTCACCCAGGGGCAGGGGGCTCTGCTGGACCCCGCTCAGAGAGCCCTCTACAGGGACGTCATGCAGGAGAACTACGAGATGGTGTCCTCGCTGGGTAAGGGATTCCCGTCCCCTCAGTTATTAGAAGCTGTGGGGTCTGCATGTCTTAATGTGGTCAGGTTCTTCGCTAGTCAGTTAGAACAGTCGAATGGGCTCTAGAATGCACAGCTGCCATGTGAGAAATACATGCATTTCGGTGCCCTCTCCACTGGGACATGTGAGTCAAAACCCAATAGACAAGCTAAACCATCCCCACCCCTCCAGCGTTCAAAGGGGCATAAATCCGCATTGTCTTGTCTGTGTTGTTTCTTGGCTGCACATACAATCTCTGTTCATCTCCCTCCTTGGGAATAGCTCCAGGCATGGGGGGGGGCTGTGGGCTCTGCAGGTTTAGAAAGAGGCAGGGTCTTAAGTGCAGACCTGTGTGTGAGTCAGCAAGGCCCCCAGAGCGCACAGATCCTGGGAATGCCTAGTGAGGGTGTAGTAATAATTCAACTCACCTCCCCAGACAACGTCCTCTGCGCAAGGGGACTCAGTGACCCTGTTCCCATCCTCTTGGATTCCACGTTCCTCCAGCAGAGCACAGGGACAGGTTCCACTCACGGAACGTCCTTAGTGACAGACCCTCCACCAATGGTCCATGCACCCTGATCCGGACTCATTTCACCTTCTGCACAGGATTTCCCATTCCCAAACCTGAGCTTATCGCCCGGCTGGAACGAGGGGAAGAGCTGTGGGTGTCCGATCTCCAGGATTTCAAGGACAGAAGGCTTCTGAGATGCACCAGCACAGGTGAGGCCTGACAGAGACATTCCATCTAGGGAATGAAGGAAAAAGTTGAGAATCCCAAAATATGATGTGAGTAACGCCCTCAGTTCTTCTTCATCTCACCGAGAGCAGGGCTATGGTCAGCAGATATTGCTCACGCCATTCCACCCTTCCCGTCTCTCCTTCCTTGTAAGCGTTTGGGTGGGATGTGGAGGCAGAATTCAATTGCTCAGTCTTTGTGTTGGCTTTTCCCTCAGTGCTATTCCTCTTTCTCCCCAGCACAATGACACCTCTCTGGATTGTGTCTCTCCCAGCAGGTGCTGAGCGAGGGAGTGAGAAGAAGGAGGGGAATCATCATGAGGCAGTTCCTGGGGAAGTGGAACCACTGGGGACCTTTTTGGGAAGAGCTGAAGGGAATTTTTCCCCTTGCTGGAATCAGGGAGAAGCCTGGGGAAATTGGCACAGGACAAAGAGGCTTCTGATAAACCAACCCAGGAAGAAAGTGGATGAATCTATTAATGGTGGGGGAGGAGATGAGAATCCCAGAGAGCAGCAGACAAATCCCAAGGAAGAGACACCCTGGCACTGCCTTGAGTGTGGGAAAGGATTCATTGTGAGATCACAACTTGTTACACATCAGACAGTCCATACGGGAGAGAAACCATTTCAATGCTTGGACAGTGGGGAAAGCGTCAATAAGTGCAAAGATCTTAATAATCATGGTAGAAGCCACACTGTAGACCAGCCCATTCAATGCGTTGAATGCGGGAAATGTTTCAGTTCAAAGTCAGCACTAAATTCACATGAGAAAAGCCACACAGGAGAGAGACCCCATAAATGTTTGGACTGTGGAAAAAGTTTCAGGTGGAGGTCGGCGCTTGTTAATCATCAGGCAGTCCACACAGGAGAGAGACCCCATAAGTGCTTTGATTGTGGGAAAAGTTTCATATGCAAGTCATATCTTGCTAATCATCAGGCAATCCATAGAGGAGAGAGACCCCACAAGTGCTTTGACTGTGGGAAAAGTTTCATACGAAGGTCAAACCTTGTTCAACATCACGCAATTCACACAGGAGAGAGACCCCACAAGTGTTTGGACTGTGGGAAAAATTTCATACAGCGGTCAACCCTTGTTAAACATCAGGCAATCCACACAGGAGAGAGACCCCACAAGTGTTTGGACTGTGGGAAAAGTTTCAAGCGGAAGTCAGACCTTGTTAATCATCAGGCAATCCACACAGGAAAGAGACCCCATAAGTGCTTGGAGTGTGGGAAAAGTTTCACATGGAGAGCAGGCCTTTTTAATCATCAGAGAATCCACACAGGAGAGAGACCCCATAAGTGCTTGGACTGTGGGAAAAGTTTCAAGCGGAAGTCAGACCTTGTTAATCATCAGGCAATCCACACAGGAGAGAGACCCCATAAGTGCTTAGACTGTGGGAAAAGTTTCACATGGAGGTCAGACCTTGTTATTCATCAGGGAATCCACACAGGAGAGAGACCCCATAAATGCTTGGATTGTGGGAAAAGTTTCATTCAGAGGTCACACCTTGTTAAACATCAGGGAATCCATACAGGAGCAAGACCCCACAAGTGCTTGCACTGTGGAAAAAGTTTCATAGAGAGGTCACACCTTCTTAATCATCAGGCAATCCACACAGGAGAGAGACCCCACAAGTGCTTGGACTGTGGGAAAAGTTTCATACAGAGATCAAACCTTGTTAAACATAAAACAATTCACAAAGGAGAAAGATCCCATAAGTGCTTGGACTGTGGGAAAAGTTTCAAGCGGAAGTCAGACCTTGTTAGTCATCAGGCAATCCACACAGGAGAGAGACCCCACAAGTGTTTGGACTGTGGGAAAAGTTTCACATGGAGGTCAGACCTTGTTAATCATCAGGCAATCCACACAGGAAAGAGACCCCATAAATGCTTGGACTGTGGGAAAAGTTTCATACAGAGATCACACCTTGTTCAACATCAGGCAATCCACACAGGAGAAAGACCCCACAAGTGCTTGGACTGTGGGAAAAGTTTCACTTGGAGATCAGCCCTGGGTTATCATCAGAAAATCCATACAGGAGAGAGACCCCACAAGTGCTTGGACTGTGGGAAGAGTTTCATACGGATGTCAGACCTCATTAAACATGGAAGAATCCACACAAGATGTAAACTTCTGTGATGCATGGCAAGAAAGGGTTAAGCAACTTGTATGTAATTGACTCAGATTCAACTTTTAGACAGAGATTTTAAAAGTGTTTCCGCCTTCATTAAGCTAGAGTTTGAAATGTAAACATGTTAAAGACTTGGAAGAGGGGTAACTGTCATGGTCTATGTTTAGCTATATCTTTTTAGAGGTTAACAATTTATGCAAAGGGTTCCTGTATTTTGCTAATTCAGAGATTATACCCATCACCCATGTCACCTGCCCCATTCCAGCTCCCTCTCCTTGAAATCACTGAGGTTAGGGGCTGAAGGATGGAGGGAATGTTTATAGCTGAAATCACTGAAATCTGTTTTGCAAGGTTAATATCAGTGAGATCTGTTCCTCTCTCCTGCTCGGATATTTTCTCTGGGGATCCCGCAGACAGAAAGGAGCAGGTGTTACCATCTTGGGTTCCAATCACAACGGTGACTGTCTACACTAGTAATTCTGAAACTGTGGGGCACGTCCTCCCAATGGAGGCACAGGAATATGTCAAGGGAGACATGACCTCCGGCTGGGACTCTTGAAGAAGGAACTGGCATATCTGGGAGGTGGGGATAAATGCTCAGGCTCTCAAAAGCCAGGTGGAGCAGCAGGGCAGAAGTCAGGGTGGCAATGGGGTGATAAGTCTGCTGTGAACAGTGATATTGAGGAATATCACTTTTCACTCGGTCACCCTTACTTCTGTGCTGCTGCTGGAGGCCTTCAGAGCCGGGCGCATCGCCAGCAGCGACTCTGCCTTTAGAGCTGGGTGGCCATATATGTGCTTGTGAGGGCGGGGGCGGAAATGACGACACACACAAAGAAGGGGGGGGGCCAATGAAACACTTTTGAGAACCACTGGTCTACACTCTTATGGCCACCACGTTTTCAGAAGGATAAATCTTCTCCAAAGTATGTCTTGTGAAGTATCCTAGGAAAAGTCATTGCCTGCTGAATATTATTGTCCTGTTAAAATGTGTCTATCAGCGCTGTCCATGGAGCTCTGAGAGTTTGCTGTACGTTTGTTAGACGCTGGAAAGCTGGAAAACGCCCACAGACTAGCTCTTTAGAGACAATGGTACCTGCAGACCAGCTAGGTGCTAAGTGGCCATTAATTGCTTAGCTGGCCATTCACCAGCTGTGGAGCTGTGAACAAGAGAGTTACAATTCACCAGAAGGATGGCTGGACGCTCACTTTGGCCACAGACTGATTGTTGCCTGCCCCCTGGCTGGAGCTTGAACCTTAAAGAAGAGAATGGTATAAAAGCACAAGGGAGAATTGCCTCCATTTTCACCTCTCCTCTCCCATCTTTACAGAAGTCAAGGATATGCCTTGAAAGGCCACAGGGGCCTTGGACTGGGGAGGATGCACCAAGGCAGGAAGGAAATCCATCCTGGGTACGAAGAACTGTGAACCGCTTGCAATAGCGGGAGGGTGCGAAAACCTGCTTGCTTCGCATTTTCCTTAGATTGGTCAAATTTAGGATTTAAAATGCATGTTTTAATTGTATAGACTTAACTAGTTCTGACCTTTCACATCTTTCTCCCTTGTGATCCCTGAAAACCTCCTTGTTCCAGTTAATAAACTGATTTTAGTGTTTTGTCTGGACCTGTGTGTTTTCCTTGAAGTGTTTGGGGGGTTTGACTTGAGAGAACAAGGCTGTGGCCTAATACGACCCCTTTGTGGGGGGTGGGGGGATGACCCACTAATTATTGAGTTTGTCCAGCACAGTGAACAGAGTGAGCAGTCCAAGATGCAGATTCCCAGGGTGCAAGGCTGGGAGTAGAAAAGTGGCTGATGTTGCTGAGTCCTTTAGTAACTTCATGAGTGTCTTGCTAGTCACAGTCAGTACAGTGCAGCCAGGAGTGAGTTTGAATGCTAGTGGCTGTGTGTGAGCAGAGCGTGGAGGGGTTTGGTGTTCACACAGCGATGCAGCAGGGTGGATTTGATTTAAATGATGATTTAAATCACTCGTCTGGAAGACTCGATTTAATCATTGTATTCTACAGAAAAGTGCATTCTTGGTTTTTATAATCTTAATAGATATTGTACACAACTCAGAGATAGATGTAGGTTGCATTTTTAGAAGGTACACACTATACATTTTAAAACAGATTTATTTTGAAAACTTTTCAGGTTAGTTTTACAGCTATATCAGACAATGAATGATTGTTTGGTTATTTCATTACATTTATTTGCTTTTGTTTATTTCATTGTTTGGTTATTTCAGTCATGCCACCCTGTGGTGGAGAACATCACCAGACAGACGTTTAAATTGTTTTATTTCATTAAAACAACTACGTTAAGTATTCTGGATTTTTTTCTTCAACAGCAAAGATACAATATTTTAACAGAAAAGCATATGTCCATCATTTCTCACATTAATCTCCAGACTTCTTCTCCTTGTCCAGATCTATTCTGCCTCCAACAGTCTTCTATTCATTCAACTTTTTGAAACTTTGCACTTTTGGAGAGAGGGAAGGGATAGACTCTGTGTACACAAATTTGCAGAGGGACAATAGAGGTGAGGTCTGTTATTTCTCACCTCTCTATATTAATTTATTTTAAAACATTCTGGCTTTTAACAAGCATGTTACCTCTGGAGACACAAAGCCACAGTTTGAGAACTGGGAAATTAAGCATCTCTGATGGGATCTTCTAGACTGAGCACTGAGTCCCATGGGGTAGATGGAAAGATTAACCTAAGTAATCTATACAGAAGCCTGTGGAACCCCATAAAATTGGGTCCCTAATCCATCAACTATTGGAACTCATCATGTACAAAACTTTTCTTAAACATTCCATGAATATATTGTCTCATACTATAGAATTAGAATTTACAATCCCTATTCCATGATGAGATATCTTTGAGCTACAATGTATCTTAATTAAACGTATCTTTAGATAAGGTTTTTCCTCAAAAAGCATTTTATCAAAAAAAAAATCCAATTTAAATAAAAACACTGATTTTTGTTTAACTCATTGATTTTTATCCAGCCTGGGAAGCAGTGTAAAACATGCCCTGGGATGGAGAATTAAGCAGTTCAACAGTCCAGATTGTACCCTGGGGTACGTCTCACACCCGCTGTCTCCTGGGCCCCAGCATGGCACTGTTGGGCTTTCATCATCCTGATCTTGAAAGACACGCTAAGCAGGGCAAACCAGAGAAGGGGAGCCAGCGGACATCCTCAACTCCACTGAGTTTGATTTTGACTAAATCCTGAACTCCCCCTGGTACGTGAGCAGCTGCTGGGAGCTTCGGGCCCTTGAAATCAGGGCAGGAGCAGTAGCTGCGATGGCAGCCGGGACCCCTGGGGCTCCAGCGGCGATTTAAAGGGCCCAGGGCTCCGCTGTGGTACCGGTGGCCGGAGCCCTTCACATCACCGGCCTGGGGAAGCTGCCCCCTGCCGGTGCAGTCAGCGGTGTCCCGGCTCTTGCCGGGTCCGCCAGAGTGGATCAGACCGGCTTACTTTCACCTCTGCCAGTGGTCTAAACAATTATGCCACCCCCACTTCTGCTCTCTCTCCTTTTGCCTTCCCTCGCTCCCCCCTGCAAATCTGGCCCAGTCAGCTCAAACAACCAGAGGTTTTGGGCCAGTCGCCGGTGACCAGAGAGGCGGTGAGAGCAAGGCCTCTGCCAGCCCAATATGGAGAGAAGTTTGCCGCAGACGGGCTGATCAGCCAGCGGCCGGTGCCCGGTCAGTCCTGCAGGGAGGCTGCGAGCGAGACTGAATGCTGACAGGAGAAGTTTCGAGGCGGGATGACCCCTTACTGCTGGGAGAAGCTCCCCGAGCCCAGGGGCGGTTGGGCCCCCAGGGGGCAGGGGCTGGGCAGGGGGCTGGATTACTGTGGGTTGATCGCTAGGACCCAGGAGCGGCTGGGGGGCGGCTCTGGGGGGAGGATCGCGGGGCTCAGGCCCGGCCCAGGAAGTGACTCGCAGCCGCGGCGGGGACTCTGGCTCCCGGCGAGATCCCCGAGCCCCGGCGGCTGGTGCTGGGAGCCCGGAGCCCGGGCTGCAGCCGCGAGAGGGGAACCTCCAGCCGGGCCCTGCCCGCTGCTCCCCGGGAGCCTCTCCCAGGGCAGAGCCCCCAGCCCGGCCAGGGCCCCTTCCCGGCCCGGCCTCTGCCCCGGGGGGGCCCCGCTCGGAGGGAAGGTAAGAGAGACCCTCCCATCCCCCCTTGCAGCGGGGCCCATCCCCGTCACATCTGGGCTGCTGGGGGAGGAGGATAAAGAGGGGCCGGAGGCGGGTGCAGGGGATGCTGGGGGCAGGCTGGGATGGGGGCAGGGGTGCACGGAAGGGAAGATGGGGCAATGGAGGAGGATCGGGGACTGTGGGGCTGAGGGGAGCGAGGTCGGGAATGGGGGAAGACGTGAGTGGGGGGCACAGCGAGGGAAAGGGGGGATGTGGGGAGGCGGGCGGGGGGAGATGCCCAGGCAGCTTCTCCGCCCCATGGGACACGAGGTGGGAGGGGCGGAGAGAAACTCTTCTCAGGTTTCTGAGCGATCACGGACTAACCGCCCAGGGTGCAGAAGCTACAAGGAAAAAACCCAGCGCCCCCACAGATCTGGCTCTGAGTGTGTTATTGTCAGACACGCCTGTGGTGGTGGGGTCTGTGTGCCCTGAGTGTTGGGGGCTGCCCAGGGCCCTGGTCTGATTTCCCTGTAGGGTTCAGATCTCAGCCACACCAGAGTCAGACCGCAGTCACTGCTGGCTCAGGCAGGGGGTGCGCGGATGGGCCAATGGGATCAGCCTCTTCCTGCCTGACCCTGGGGGCTGCCGGGGGAGTCCAGGGCAGCTGAATCTTCAGGTGACGCCACCAGAGGCCTCCAGCTATTGGTAAGGGAGAGGGGTTTACACTGCAATCGGGGCCAGACTCCCAAATTGGCTCTATTGGTTCTTCCCTTTTTTTAGCATTTGGCTCAGAGATGCTGTTACTGGGAGGGTCTGAAGAGTCTGGGGGGAATCGGGGTGTGACATGGACAGAAACCCCTTCTGTAACCTCCATCTCGCCCCTACAGGCAGAGGAATCAGGTCCACGTTTCACTAAAGATCGGCCAGTCTACCAGGGGCCAGAGAAGGGAAATGGCTGTGATGGAGCCAGCTCAGGTAGGGGATTTTCAGGGAGCTGCTGGGCGGGGGAGGGAGGAGACAGGGTTTGATAAACCTACCGATTTACTAAATAGGCCCATTGTGGCAGGGAAAGGGGGAGGGGACATTCCCCCATTTCTCAGACAGGATATATCCACCTCGGCAGGGCTGGGAACATTTTCCAGGATCCCAGTGCTGGAGCCTGACCCCATTTGCCTGGGGCTGCTGTGAAATACGAAGGGAAGCTGTCGGGATTCCTGTCCCTGTCCCCGGCTCAGAGCTCTGCTTCCTGTCCCAGTCTGTGGCTGGCAAGCGCGTTGGAAATGAGAAGATCCTGGCGTGCTCCGTGTGCTGGGCCGGACAGGGAGCTCTCACCTTCTCCACCCCCTGAAGCCTCCTGGCTCCTCTGAGCAGGGTGTGGGTGGGATTCTGCTACTCTGGCCCTCCCACAGCTTCACGTTTTTTTTTCCTTTCCCATGAGTAGTGGGATTGTGGCTGGGGCAGCAGGTGCTGAGTGGGGGACTCTTGGTGTTTCAGATGCCGGTGACCTTCGAGGAGGTGGCTATTTATTTCACCCAGGGGCAGGGGGCTCTGCTGGACCCCGCTCAGAGAGCCCTCTACAGGGACGTCATGCAGGAGAACTACGAGACGGTGACCATGCTGGGTAAGGGATTCCCGTCCCCTCAGTTATTAGAAGCTGTGGGGTCTGTGTGTCTTAATGTGGTCAGGTTCTTCCCTGGTCAGTTGGAGCAGAGGCGAATGGGTTCCATAATGCACAGCTGCCATGTGAGAAATACATGCATTTCGGTGCCCTCTCCACTGGGACACGGGAGTCAAAACCCAATGGACAAGCTAAACCATCCCCACCCCTCCAGCTTTCAAAGGGACATAAATCCGCATTGTCTTGTCTGTGTTGTTTCTTGGCTGCACATAAAATCGCTGTTCATCTCCCTCCTTGGGAATAGCTCCAGCCATGGGGAGAGCTCTGGGCTCTGCAGGTTTAGAAAGAGGCAGGGTCTTAAGTGCAGACCTGTGTGTGAGTCAGCAAGGCCCCCAGAGCGCACAGATCCTGGGAACGCCTAGTGAGGGTGTAGTAATAATTCAACTCACCTCCCCAGACAACGTCCTCTGCTCAAGGGGGCTCAGTGACCCTGTTCCCATCCTCTTGGATTCCACCTTCCTCCAGCAGAGCACAGGGACAGGTTCCACTCACGGAATGTCCTTTGTGACAGATCCTCCACCAATGCTCCATGCACCCTGATCTGGACTCATTTCACCTTCTGCACAGGATTTCCCATTCCCAAACCTGAGCTTATCGCCCGGCTGGAACGAGGGGAAGAGCTGTGGGTGTCCGACCTCCAGGATTTCAAGGACAGAAGGCTTCGGAGATGCACCAGCACAGGTGAGGACTGACAGAGAAACCATCTAGGGAATGAAGGAAAAAGTTGAGAATCCCAAAATATGATATGAGTAACGCCCTCAGTTCTTCTTCATCTCACCGAGAGCAGGGCTATGGTCAGCAGATATTGCTCACGCCATTCCACCCTTCCCGTCTCTCCTTCCTTGTCAGCGTTTGGGTGGGATGTGGAGGCAGAATCCAATTGCTCAGTCTTTGTGTTGGCTTTTCCCTCAGTGCTGTTCCTCTTTCTCCCCAGCACAATGACTCCTCTCTGGATTGTGTCTCTCCCAGCAGGTGCTGAGCGAGGGAGTGAGAACAAGGAGAGGAATCATCATGAGGAAGTTCCTGGAGAAGTGGAACCACAGGGGACCTTTTTGGGAAGAGCTGAAGGGAATTTTTCCCTTTGCTGGAATCAGGGAGAAGCCAGGGGAAATTGGCACAGGTCAGAGAAGCTTCTGATAAACCAAACCAGGAAGAAAGTGGATGAATCTATTAATGGTGGGGGAGGAGACGAGAATCCCAGAGAGCAGCAGACAAATCCCAAGGAAGAGACACCCTGGCACTGCCTTGAGTGTGGGAAAGCATTTGTTGTGAGATCACAACTTGTTACACATCAGACAGTCCATACGGGAGAGAAATCATTTCAATGCTTGGACAGCGGGGAAAGCTTCAATAAGCGCAGAGATCTTAATAACCATGGGAGAAGCCACACTGTGGACAAGCCCATTCAATGCGTTGAATGCGGGAAATGTTTCAGTTCAAAGTCAGCACTAAATTCACAGGAGAAAAGCCACACAGGAGAGAGACCCCACAAGTGCTTGGACTGTGGGAAAAGTTTCAAGCAGAAATCAGTCCTTGTTAGTCATCAGGCAATCCACACAGGAGAGAGACCCCACAAGTGCTTGGACTGTGGGAAAAGTTTCATACGAAGGTCAACCCTTGTTCAACATCAGGTAATCCACACAGGAAAGAGACCCCATAAGTGCTTGCACTGTGGGAAAAGTTTCACATGGAGATCAGACCTTGTTATTCATGAGGCAATCCACACAGGAGAGAGACCCCACAAATGCTTGGATTGTGGGAAAAGTTTCATAAAGAGGTCACACCTTGTTAAACATAAGGCAGTCCACACAGGAGAGAGACCCCATAAATGCTTGGATTGTGGGAAAAGTTTCATACACAGGTCAGACATTGTTAGACATCAGGCAATCCACACAGGAGCAAGACCCCACAAGTGCTTGCACTGTGGGAAAAGTTTCAAGCGGAAATCAGACATTGTAACTCATCAGGCAATCCACACAGGAGAGAGACCCCACAAGTGCTTGGACTGTGGGAAAAGTTTCACAGCAAGGTCAAACCTTCTTAAACATAAAACAATTCACAAAGGAGAAAGATCCCATAAGTGCTTGGACTGTGGGAAAAGTTTCCAGCCGAGGTCAAACCTTGTTAATCATCAGAGAACCCACAGAGGAGAAAGACCCCACAAGTGCTTGGACTGTGGGAAAAGTTTCACTTCGAGATCGGCCCTTGGTTATCATCAGAAAAGCCACACAGGAGAGAGACCCCACAAGTGCTTTGACTGTGGGAAAAGTTTCAAGCTGAAATCAGTCCTTGTTAGTCATCAGGCAATCCACACAGGAGAGAGACCCCACAAGTGCTTTGACTGTGGGAAAAGTTTCAAGCAGAGGTCAGTACTTGTAAAACATCGGGCAGTCCACACAGGAGAGAGACCCCACAAGTGCTTTGATTGTGGGAAACGTTTCAAGCAGAGGTCAGACCTTGTTAAACATCAGGCAATCCACACAGGAGAAAGACCCCACAAGTGCTTGGACTGTGGGAAAAGTTTCAGATGGAGGTCAGACCTTGTTATTCATCAGGCAATCCACACAGGAGCAAGACCCCACAAGTGCTTGCACTGTGGGAAAAGTTTCAAGCGGAAATCAGGCCTTGTTAGTCATCAGGCAATCCACACAGGAGAAAGACCCCATAAATGCTTGGACTGTGGGAAAAGTTTCAGAGAGGTCAACCCTTGTTAAACATCAGGCAATCCACACAGGAGAAAGACCCCACAAGTGCTTGGACTGTGGGAAAAGTTTCACTTGGAAGTCAGCCCTTGGTAATCATCAGAAAATCCATACAGGAGAGAGACCCCATAAATGCTTGGACTGTGGGAAAAGTTTCACAGAGAGGTCAACCCTTGTTAAACATCAGGCAATCCACACAGGAGAAAGATCCCATAAGTGCTTGGACTGTGGGAAAAGTTTCAAGCGGAAGTCACACTTTGTTAATCATCAGGCAATCCACACAAGAGGAAGACCCCATAAGTGCTTGGACTGTGGGAAAAGTTTCACATGGCGGTCACACCTTGTTAATCATCAGGCAATCCACACAGGAGAAAGACCCCACAAGTGCTTGGACTGTGGGAAAAGTTTCACTTGGAAATCAGCCCTTGGTTATCATCAGAAAATCCATACAGGAGAGAGACCCCACAAGTGCTTGGAGTGTGGGAAAAGTTTCATACGGACATCAGACCTCGTTAAACATGGAGGAATCCACAGAAGATGTAAACTTCTGTGACACATGGCAAGAAAAGGTTAAGCAACTTGTATGTAATTGACTCAGATTCAACTTTTAGACAGAGATTTTAAAAGTGTTTCTGCCTTCATTAAGCTAGAGTTTGAAATGTAAACATGTTAAAGACTTGGAAGAGTGGTAACTGTCGTGGTCTATATTTAGCTGTATCTTTTTAGAGGTTAACAATTTATGCAAAGGGTTCCTGTATTTTGTTAATTCAGAGATTATACCCATCGCCCATGTCACCTGCCCAATTCCAGCTCCCTCTCCTTGAAATCACTGGGGTTAGGGGCTGAAGGATGGAGGGAATGTTTATAGCTGAAATCACCAAAATGTGTTTTGCAAGGTGGCCATATATGTGCTTGTGAGGGTGGGGCGGAAATGACGACACACACAAAGAAGGGGGGGGCCAAAAAAAAAATTTTTGAAAACCCTGTTCTTCCCTTTTTTGGTCTCCACAATTAAAAAAAGGAATTTTTTTTTTAAATGTTTTGTTGGGGGTGTTTATTTTTCTTTTTTTTTGGGGGGGGGGGGGGGGGGGGGGGGGGGGGGGGGCGGGCGGAGCGAGTAGAGTGGGTGGCCATATATGTGCTTGTGAGGGTGGGGCGGAAATGACGACACACACAAAGAAGGGGGGGCCAATGAAACACTTTTGAGAACCACTGGTCTACACTCTTATGGTCACCACGATTACAGAAGGATAAATCTTCTCCAAAGTATGTCTTGTGAAGTATGCTAGGAAAAGTCATTGCCTGCTGAATATTATTGTCCTGTTAAAATGTGTCGATCAGCACTCTCCATGGAGCTCTGAGAGTTTGCTGTATGTTTGTTACATGCTGGAAAGCTGGAAAACGCCCACAGACTCACTCTTTAGAGACAATGGTACCTGCAGACCAGCTAGGTGCTAAGTGGCCATTAATTGCTTAGCTGGCCATTCACCAGCTGTGGAGCTGTGAACAAGAGAGTTACAATTCACCAGAAGGATGGCTGGACCCTCACTTTGGCCACAGACTGATTGTTGCCTGCCCCCTGGCTGGAGCTTGAACCTCAAAGAAGAGAATGGTATAAAAGCAGAAGGGAGAATTGCCTCCATTTTCACCTCTCCTCTCCCATCTTTACAGAAGTCAAGGATATGCCTTGAAAGGCCACCGGGGCCTTGGACTGGGGAGGACGCACCAAGGCAGGAAGGAAATCTGTCCTGGGTACTAAGAACTAACTAGTTTTGACCTTTCACATCTTTCTCCCTTGTGATCCCTGAAAACCTCCTTATTCTAGTTAATAAACTGATTTTAGTGTTTTGTCTGGACCTGTGTGTTTTCCTTGAAGTGGTTGGGGGATTTGACTTGAGAGAACAAGGCTTTGGCCTAATCTGATCCCTTTGTGGGGGGGGGGGGGGGTGACCCACTAATTATTGAGTTTGTCCAGCACAGTGAACAGACTGAGCAGTTTAAGATGCAGATTCCCGGGGTGCAAGGCTGGGAGTAGAAAACTGGCTGATGTTGCTGTCTTGTTTAGTAACTTCATGAGTGTCTGGCTAGTCACACTCAGTACAGTGCAGCCAGGAGTGAGTTTGAATGCCAGTGGCTGTGTGTGAGCAGAGCGTGGAGGGGTTTGTTGTTTACACAGCGATGCAGCAGGGTGGATTTGATTTAAATCACTAGTCTGGAAGACTCGATTTAATCATGGTATTCTACAGAAAAGTACATTCTTGGTTTTTATAATCTTAATAGATCATAGAATCCTAGAATATCAGGGTTGGAAGGGACCTCAGGAGGTCATCTAGTCCAACCCCCTGCTCAAAGCAGAACCGATCCCCAATTAAATCGTCCCAGCCAGGGCTTTGTCAAGCCTGACCTTAAAAACTCCTAAGGAAGGAGATTCCACCACCTCCCTAGGTAACGCAGTCCAGTGTTTCACCACCCTCCTAGTGAAAAAGTTTTTCCTAATATCCAACCTAAACCTCCCCCACTGCAACTTGACACCATTACTCCTTGTTCTGTCATCCACTCCCACCGAGAATAGTCTAGATCCATCCTCTTTGGAACCTCCTTTCAGGTAGTTGAAAGCAGCTATCAAATCTCCCCTCATTCTTCTCTTCTGTAGACTAAATAATCCCAGATCCCTCAGCCTCTCCTCATAAGTCATGTGTTCCAGTCCCCTAATCATTTTTGTTGCCCTCCGCTGGATTCTCTGCAATATTTCCACATCCTTCTTGCAGTGTGGGGCCCAAAACTGGACACAGTACTCCAGATGAGGCCTCACCAATGTCGAATAGAGGGGAACGATCACGTCCCTCGATCTGCTGCCAATGCCCCTACTTATACATCCCAAAATGCCATTGGCCTTCTTGGCAACAAGGGCACACTGCTGACTCATATCCAGCTTCTCATCCACTGTCACCCCCAGATCCTTTTCCGCAGAACTGCTGCCTAGTCATTCGGTCCCTACTCTGTAGCAGTGCATTGGATTCTTCCATCCTAAGTGCAGGACCCTGCACTTATCCTTGTTGAACCTCATCAGATTTCTTTTGGCCCAATCCTCTAATTTGTCTAGGTCCCTCTGTATCCTATCCCTTCCTGCCACCGTATTTACCACTCCTCCTAGTTTAGTATCATCCGCAAACTTGCTGAGGGTGCAATCCACACCATCCTGCAGATCATTAATGAAGATATTGAAGAAAACCGGCCCGAGGACCGACCCTTGGGGCACTATGCTTGATACCGTCTGCCAACTAGACATGGAGCCATTGATCACTACCCGTTGAGCCTGACAATCTAGCCAATTTTCTACCCACCTTATAGTGCATTCGTCCAGCCCATACTTCTTTAACTTGCAGACAAGAATACTGTGGGAGACCATGTCAAAAGCTTTACTAAAGCCAAGGAACACTACGTCCACTGCTTTCCCTTCATCCACAGAACCAGTTATCTCGTCATAGGAAAGTTGTAGGAAAGGTGCGTGGCAGCCTCCTGTTCATAATTATTAGGGGAAATTAAGCTAGTTAGCATATGTGACTCCATTTTGGGTTTCCTCTCGGCCATTAACTAGAAGCGAGCACACCACGTACCAAGGAAGGAAGGAAGGATCCTTCAGGGTGGACAGCTGGACAGTTTCAAGAGAAGGGAAACAAAGGCGACAGGAACCAGCCGACATGCCTGAAATAGCTGCTAATTTAGCGTTTTTGCAGGGGGAAGGTGGCTGCAGGGGATTGGTGATAGATAAGGAGAAGGCCTGTTTTTTGGGTTAGGCCCCCCGAGGCACACAGGCAGGATGTTTTGCCAACAGTATAGAATCTTTGTGTAACCTGCAATCGGGGTCCCGCTCTGCTTAACGGAGCGGTGCCACGCTCGAGCGTAAGAAACCTACAAACTCTGAGACACTCTGCAGTCTGTCTTTATTTGGTTGCCTCAGCCTAGAAACAAACTGTACATGTCCTAACTGGAATAATTCGTAACAGTTTGGGACTCTAGGCTTGCCCTCGTAAGCGAAGCCGCACTCCTTCCCTCAGACAACTGCAGCCGGCACCAGGTGAGTTCACCTTCAAGAACTCGGAGGAACGGGCGTGTGGGCCGTCGCTTAGGCGATAAGGTGGCACCTGAGGCGTTCTTTTGGTAGCCCTAGAATGGGCTCTGGGCAGAGTGTGAGCAGGGGAACCCCTTTGGCTGAGATTCTCAGGAATTGGAAAAATATTTCTGGCACCCCTGGGTTAGGTGAAAGGAGAGCTGTAATTTTGTATAAAGTCGAGTGGCCAGCGCTGACTATTCAGACGCCCTTTGGATGGCCACCCGACGGAACTTTTGCACAGGATGAATTAACCTGCCTTAGACAACAGCTGGAGGACAAGCATCCAGCTGAAATGGATTATTGGTATGTATGGGATAATTGGGCATACGCCCGAGATAAGGGGCGCCCCTCAACTTTGGGCTCTGGTACCAGATCTAAGGTTTGCATGCCGCTTGCAGGTTCCGCTCCGCCCTATGCTGCTTTCCCTCCTCCGTCTCTTCCCGCTACTCCTCCTCCTGTTGCCCCTCTATAGCCGCCTGTAACCCTACCCCCTGTTGCGCTTCAAGTGCCCGATACAACAACCCGTTGCGACGAGCAATGACCGTGTCACTATGGTCACGTCCACCGCCCTTTTGGGCCTGGGGACCTGGTCACCTGGCAGTCACAGATGCCGAGGTTCGCGACGATCCGGAAAGAGTCCTACAGACTATCCGTTCAGTCCTTACGGCATTTAACCCTAACTGGGCAGACGTCCAGGCTATTTTGCAAACCCTATTTACCCCTGACGAGAAGTATTCTATTCTAGACGCCAATCGGCGTTGGGCGGGGGACGCTGAGAATCGCACCCCTTGGCCCGAAGCCGATCCAGGTTGGGATCCTAACGACCTCAATGGCCGGGCCAGCCTCTCAGCTGCCCGGGAAGAGCTCCTGGAGAGCATCCGTAGGGCGGGTAGTAAGACGGCAAATTGGTCAAAAATTAGAGAGTGCCAGCAAGACCTAAACGAGCATCCGTCTGTATGTTTGGCCAGCTTGTTTAAGCAGGTTAGAATGTATGGGGGAGGGGTGGAGCCAGAAGCCGAGGTTAGCCGCATGATGATGGTCTCTTACTTTGTCGATCAAGCGGCGCCGGACATAAAGAAGTATTTAACTAAACATGTTCCCGATTGGCCAGGGAAAGCCCTAAGCGAAGTAGTTCGCCTGGTCACTTTTGTGTTTAATGGTAGGGACGAGGAGAAAGCTAAGGAAAAACGTAAGCAAAAGAAGGAGGAAGTAAGTATGTTGGCAGCCGCATTGCAGGTTCTCTTGGGGAATCAGCACTGGCAGGGACACGGGAATACAAGGGGGAGGGGACGCGGACGTGGGACAGGACGGGGAGGAGGCTGTGGTGGGACAAGGAACGGGAACTGTTATTATTGTAAGCAACCGGGGCACTGGAAGAAGGAATACCCCCTGCTTCCACGAGGGGCTCCTTGGCAGGATCAGCCGGTGACCGGTTCCTCCTTTCCCCCTAACGCTTCCCAGGACTTCGATAATCCCCAGTGACGAGAGGCAGAGATTTTGGGAGCCGTGGGAGAGTTGGAATGGAATCTTGGATTGCAGTCGCATATTTCCTTGTAAATTGTGGAACGGTTTGTACCCTTTTTGGTGGATACCGGAGCCACCCTTTCCACTTGAACTTTTGTTCCGGGCTCTCTTTCTAATACCAAGGTTTGGGTGCAGGATATTGAGGGCGACCCGTGCCCAGGTCCCCTATCCTGCCCCGTCCCTCTGGAGCTGGGTTCCTTAAAGTTGTCACAGAGATTTGTTGTTATGCCAGAAGGCCCCGCTAACCTTGGGTGAGACATGCTTAGCAAGCTGGGAGCCCACATATATTATGCCCACGAGGGGCTTCACATGTCCGTCCCGGACTCGGCGGTTGCTTCTCTTATGGCCTCACTAACCCCGATTCCCGATCTCCCCACAGAATTCTCCAGCGTCCCACCCAATTTGTGGAGCGTGAGTTCCACCGACGTGGGCCTCCTTCAATCAGCCACTCCAGTCAGTCTGCAGGTAAGGGATGGGCCGCCTCCCTCCGTAAAACAATATCCCTTGCCGAAGGAGGCGGAGGAAGGTATTTCCCTTCTTATCTCTAGCTACTTAACCCAGGAGGTCTTGGTTCCATGCAGTTCTCCTTGCCCTGGGCAACACAGCATGGGGAGGAGGTGACCAGCCCTCAGTGGAGAAAGAAGTGGTTAGGGACTATTTAGAAAAGCTGGACGTGCACAAGTCCATGGGGCCGGATGCGTTGCATCCGAGAGCGCTAAAGCAGTTGGCGGCTGTGATTGCGGAGGCATTGGCCATTATCTTTGAAAATTCGTGGCAAACGGGGGAAGTCCCGGACGACTGGAAAAAGGCTAATGTAGTGCCAATCTTTAAAAAAGGGAAGAAGGAGGATCCTGGGAACTACAGGCCAGTCAGCCTCACCTCAGTCCCCAGAAAAATCATGGAGCAAGTCCTCAAGGAATCAATCCTGAAGCACTTAGACAAGAGAAAAGTGATCAGGAACAGTCAGCATGGATTCACCAAGGGAAGGTCATGCCTGACTAATCTAATCGCCTTCTATGATGAGATTACTGGTTCTGTGGATGAAGGGAAAGCAGTAGATGTATTGTTTCTTGACTTTAGCAAAGCTTTTGACACGGTCTCCCACAGTATTCTTGTCAGCAAGTTAAAGAAGTATGGGCTGGATGAATGCACTATAAGGTGGGTAGAAAGTTGGCTAGATTGTCGGGCTCAATGGGTAGTGATCAATGGCTCCATGTCTAGTTGGCAGCCAGTATCAAGAGGAGTGCCCCAAGGGTCAGTCCTGGGGCCGGTTTTGTTCAATATCTTCATAAATGATCTGGAGGATGGTGTGGAATTCACTCTCAGCAAATTTGCGGATGATACTAAACTAGGAGGAGTGGTAAATACGGTGGCAGGTAGAGATAGGATACAGAGGGACCTAGACAAATTGGAGGATTGGGCCAAAAGGAATCTGATGAGGTTCAACAAGGATAAGTGCAGGGTCCTGCACTTAGGATGGAAGAATCCAATGCACCGCTACAGACTAGGGACCGAATGACTAGGCAGCAGTTCTGCAGAAAAGGACCTAGGGGTGACAGTGGACGAGAAGCTGGATATGAGTCAGCAGTGTGCCCTTGTTGCCAAGAAGGTCAATGGCATTTTGGGATGTATAAGTAGGGGCATAGCCAGCAGATCGAGGGACGTGATCGTTCCCCTCTATTTGACATTGGTGAGGCCTCATCTGGAGTACTGTGTCCAGTTTTGGGCCCCACACTACAAGAAGGAGAGGCTGAGGGAGAGGCTGAGGGAACTGGGATTTAGACTGCAGAAGAGAAGAAGAGGGGAGATTTGATAGCTGCTTTCAACTCCCTGAAAGGTGGTTACAAAGAGGATGGATCTAGACTATTCTCAGTGGTAGCGGATGACAGGACAAGGAGTAATGGTCTCAAGTTGCAGTGGGGAAGGTTTTGGTTGGATATTAGGAAAAACTTTTTCACTAGGAGGGTGGTGAAACACTGGAATGCGTTACCTAGGGAGGTGGTAGAATCTCCTTCCTTAGAAGTTTTTAAGGTCAGGCTTGACAATGCCCTGGCTGGAATGATTTAATTGGGGATCGGTCCTGTTTGAGCAGGGGGTTGGACTAGATGATCTCCTGAGGTCCCTTCCAACCCTGATATTCTATGATTCTATGCTTCTATGATTCTAATGCTCCTATCCTTCCTGTGAAAAAGTCAAAACCGGGCCCAGATGGGCGCCCAGTTTATTGGTTCGTTCAAGATCTGCGTGAGATAAATAGTTATGTTATAACCCCCCACCAAGTGGTCCCTGATCCGAGTACTATCCTGACACTGATTCCCCAGTCGGCCAGTGGTGTCCTATTGCAGTACCTAGGGGATCGCCCACGCCCCATAGCTTAGTATTCCCTACCTTAGGACCCGGTCATTCGGGGATCGGTCTCCTGTGTGTGGTCCATTGCCGCTGCAGCCCTTATGGTGGAACGGTCACGCCCTATTGTTCTGGGGCACCCTTTGCCTGTCTGGGTCCCCCACGAAGTTGAGGTTCTCTTAAAGCAGCATACAACGCAAGCGCTGTCTCCACAGTGGGCCCACAAATAGGAGCGGATTCTGCTGGATTCAACTATTGGGGTCTCGAGACTCCATCAGGACTTCTTGTTTTCTTGTTACTTGGACTTATATTTGTTGTCCTGTTTTGTGCGTGGTACACGGGAGGATGCAAATACTGATATGGGTGGCCTGTGAAATCCCCTCTCTATTCTCGAGTTCGGTACACGGATGGGAAAGCAACAACTTCCTGGATTTAACCCATGCTATAGCACAGGGGGTTAACCGAACACGGTGTTGGCTCTGTATTCATACCCCCACGTACATAGGTCAGGGAATCCCGTTGGTAAGGGAGCCTATCCCTCTCAACCGAACCCTCCTGGCCGGATTATGGACAGACACTCCATTTAACTGGAATGTTACAATCCAAACTTGGTCTATTGATATGGTGGCCCAGGGTAGTTATGTTTTATGTGTGTCATGACGTAAGAATTTCGAAAATACAGTTTTTGTGGGTAACTTTGTAGGGTCCAGTGATAGCACCCGCATTAGCTCTGGTGCGGCAAGTCCCCCCAAGTATTCCAGGGCGCCGTGGCCGGTCCCTGAGGGATCAGGCTGGTTCTGGTTGTGCAACCGCACGGCTTATAAGGTCCTCCCGGCAGGTTGGTGTGGTACATGCACCTTAGTACCCGCTGTTACAGTACACCAGGCCCTAGCCCAGGGGGAAATTGGGAACCTGGTATGGAGGAACCGACGAAATGTCCCATCAAATCCTCTCTCTGAACGGCCTACAGGCTTTCACTCCTTTGTTCGTTGGTTTTTGCCCTGGGTGTGGGTGAGTGAATTGGAAAAGGCTACAGTTAATATTTCTGCAGCTTTAGAATTAATGGCAAATGCCACTGCAGACGCCTTGTCTACCCTTCAAATGGAGGTGACTCAGTTATCTCAGCCCACACTGCAGAACCTTGCAAACTGGGGGTGGGGGAGTGGGGGGGTTGTGCTCTTGTTAACTCAAGCTGTTGTGTCTTTGTGAATCAACACAGCAGGGTAGAAGTCGATATCCACACCCTTATGCAGCAGGCCACCTCACTTCACCGTGTCACCCTTGACGACACCAGTACCGGATTCCACCACACGCTCCTCTCTCCACACCTCACCTCCAGGCTGCCAGACTTGGGGGCTTGGGGAAGGCGTATTTTGTACCTCCTTCTTATGGCTGGTTCTCTTTTTGTATTACTTTTGTATACCTACAATGCTGTAGTATGAGCTGCCGGCAAATTTTAATCTTGCATCGAGGTTATTCTGCCCTCATATAGTTTACTGACGTATATAACAAAAGGAAGGACTGTCAGGGGCAATCAACCGAGTTAGCATATGTGACTCCATTTTGGGTTTCCTGTCGGCCATTAACTAGAAGCGAGCACATCACATACCAAGGGAGGAGGATCCTTCAGGGTGGACAGCTGGACAGTTTCAAGATAAGGGAAACAAAGGAGACAGGAACCAGCCGACATGCCTGAAATAGCTGCTAATTTAGCGTTTTTGCAGCGGGAAGGTGGCTGCAGGGGACTGGTGATAGATAAGGAGAAGGCCTGTTTATTGGGTTAGGCCTCCCCCACCCCACCCCCCGCCCCGAGGCACACAGGCAGGATGTTTTGCCAACAGTATATAATCTTTGTGTAACCTGTAATCGGGGTCCCGCTCTGCTTAAGAGAACGGTACCACGCTCGAGCGTAATAAACCTACAAACGCTGAGACACTCTGCAGTCTGTCTTTATTTGGTTGCCTCAGCCTAGAAACGAGCTGTACGTGTCCTAACTGGAATAATTCGTAACAGTTGCTGTGAAATATGAAGGGAAGTTGTCGGGATTCCTGTCCCCGTCCCCGGCTCAGAGCTCTGCTTCCCGACTCAGCCTGTGGCTGGCAGGCGTGTGTGAAATGAGAAGACCCTCCCCTTCTCCCTGTGCTGCGGGGACAAGGAGCTCTCACTGTCTCCCAGCCCCTGGAGCCTCCTGGCCGCTCTGAGCAGGTGCCTGTGGGATTCTGCTACTCTGGCCTTCACTCTTTTCTTTCTTTGCCATGATTAGTGGGACTGTGGCAGGGGCAGCAGGTGCTGAGCGGGGGACTCTTGTTGTTTCAGATGCCGGTGACCTTGGAGGAGGTGGCTGTGTATTTCACCCAGGGGCAGGGGGCTCTGCTGGACCCCGCTCAGCATCTGATGTGTTCTGACCAGTGTTCCCTCAGTTTTTACGTCCAAGTGTGGAATGAATTTGGTTCTACGCACCAGTATGTGACACATCATCTCCATATTGGCGCACAGAACAAAATTCATGGGGTGGGGGTGGGGGTGGGGCCGAGGGATTTGGAGTGTGCGAACTGGCTCAGGACTGGGACAGGGATGAGGTGAAGGGGGTGAGGGCTCTGGATTCAGGTGCGGGCTCTGGGGTGGGGCTGCGGATCTGGAGGTTGATGTGTGAGAGGGGGTTCAGGGCTGGGACAGAGGGATGGGGTGCGGAGGGGTGAGTGCCCTGGCTAGGCATGTGGGGGTTGGGACTGGGGATGAGGGGTTTGGGGTTCAGACTGCAGTGGAGAGAGGACTCCCCCAGCCCTCTCTCACCACAGGAGTTTGGGGCCAGGTCAGAGGCAGCTCTCCCCAGCCACGGCGGCTCCTGTGGTCCTGGGCCGGGCTGAGGGAGGGGTTCCTCTCCCCAGCAGCTCCAGTGGACCTGGGCCAAACCTGGGGAGGGGCTCCTCTCCCTGCCTGCCTCCACTGCCCTCCATAGCCTGCAGTTCAGCTGCGTAGCCTGCCAGGAACACAGTTTCTGACCCCCGACCTCCCGTTAGCAGAGTGATTGCTAGTCCCTGAGTTCCCCCTTTGGGGCCAGGTTGTC